GGGATTCCACGTGGCCAGGCCTGGCGTCCCAGGTGAGGCACAGCCCAGAGCAGATACAGTCTGGTCAGTAGCTCTGTGTGCTGCCTGGCAGCGGGGTGCAGAGTGTGGAAACCCCATTTGCAGACTTCTAGGGCTTGCCAAGCTCCATTTGCCAGTTTGTCTTTCCCTGGTCCCTTCATTTCTAAAGATGCTTTACATATCCACCATGTGAGTGTGTTGGACAAACAGAACAGAGGGAAAACCCCAGGGCCCTACTGCATGGGACGGCCCACAGTCCTCTAAGCTGAAAACACCTCCTTCAGGGCCAGGGCCGGGATAGAGATGCTCCAGGGCTGGGAAGGCCTGCCAAGGGACTCTTGCCAGCAGCTCTTTGTTATCATTTGGCTTAATTACCCTCTTAATTAAAAGCTAGTAAGTTGCCTTATGGTACCCGTAGGCTAATGGGATAGAAAAATACCTTTTGCATTCGTGGAGAAAACAGGATGCTTCTCTGAGAAAGTCAACACAGATCAGACTTCAAATCTTGAGGCATAAGAATTCAAAGAAAAAAAGAATCTTTTCAGAACTTCCTATGCATTTGAGATTTAAAGAGAACTACATTTTATAACCAAGGCCTTGTTTTGCAGAGAGACCTGGTCATAGAGGGGAGAACCGGGGGCTGCTTAACACCTTGCCTTCTCAGCAGAGAGATTGTGCGAACTGATCACTCTAGGCCTGCCCTAAATGACAACTGGATCCATATTTTAACTAGCTCTGGGAGGAAAACCAAGAACCATGGTAGGAATGCGTAGATAAAAGAAACCAAACCAACTAGAAGCCCACCCTTAACCACTGCTTTCCACACTCCAACCTTGACACACATTTTCAGTAAGGGCTTTAAATGTGGAGTAAGGAAAACATGGTAATGACTCAGCATGAGACAAAAGAGAAAAGCAACCAGCTAACTTCCTATCAGAATTGGCTCTGGACACATTATCAGCAAACCATTGTTGTGGCTCAGCTTCCAGTCCCACCCCCACTCTTTGAGACGGTTTCACTGGCTCCTAGAGGCAGCACTTGGCCATCACAAACTAAGAACAATGGGAGGCGCAGGGAAGATGAAGAGCCAGACAGAGAAGCTTCCAGACCAACCACCTTTTTACCCCCCACGGCCCCCCCCCCCCCAAAAAAAAAAAAAACAGGACAGAAAAGAAACTGACTAGGTAGGCTTGTTCTGTGAGCCGAAAAAGTTCCAGTGGAATATTTGGGCTTGGATCAAATATTGTGCAGAGAGTTTGTGCTTTTACTGTAGGCAGAGGGTCTTTAAGATGATGGTGCGGACGGACCCTGCTCATACAGTGGTTAAGCTGGGGTCAGAAGGTCATGGAGAGGGGAGAACCGGGGGCAGCAGGGAGATTGGGCGAACTGATCACTCTAGGCCTGCCCTAAATGACAGTCCCCGGTCACACCATTCCCTTAATAGTAGGATCCAGAGAGAAGGGGACACCATCTATTGGCAATGGTCTCTAATATGTGTAAGAAGGGGCCCTCACCCGTCTGACTTAGTGGATAAGAGCAGCATCAGTCTGTGGTCTGAAGGGTCCTAGGTTTGAATTTGGTCGAGGGCATATGCCTGGTTGTGGGCTTGATCCTGAGTAGGTGGCGGAATATAATCATTGGAGGAGGCCAATTAATGATTCTCTCTCCTCATTGATGGTTTTTTCTCTCTCTCCCTCTCCCATTTTCTCTGAAGTCAATAAGAATATACTTTAAAAAAACAAAACCAAAAAACGTGTAAGCATGGGATAGGAGAGCCTTCAACTGAAGGCTTTTCAGTAAAAATGACTTTTCTCTAACATATTCGGACAGAAGAGTGTTCTGAATAACACACAATTCCCTAAGCAAGAGAGACCTGGTCATAGATAACAGGGACAGGTGTTGCTTTTGTTAGGATTTTTAAGTCCCTCCTCAGGCACTGATTCTCTACTTGCCACCATCAACACCAATGCCACACAATTGCCAGCAAAAGAAAGGCTACTTTTTTAGCTGATCTCAAAAGCCTACCTGTTTCTAAGTCACAGCCATAAATGACCCCTACACACACCAGGTCCTTTTGCCCACATGGAATACACCCATTCACCACACCACTGACTCAGAAGACTCTGAGCCAAGCATTGCTGCTTTAGGTTGAAGATAGCAGCATGATAAGTCTTTATTGAGCAGCTATATAAATTTATTTTTACAGTTGTGTGCAACCTAAATCAGGGCAATTTTTTAAAAAGCTAATTTGATCAATACTGTCAATACGAATATTCCTTCTACAGGATGCTGAAGTTTCTGATTATACACAGAGGGGGAAATAATTTTTTGGTTGGTTTAGACACTATTGAGCTTGTCTACTTTGGATAATGCATGTGCAGTATGAAGTGTCTTAAGATTTATTCCAATACTGCTCATCATAAAGAACATAAGAGGAGAAGCTTGGGCAACTTCAAGAGAAGCAAAACTCAAGAATGAAGAATACTGTTGAACAAAATTATGGCCAAAAATATTGTATTTTTAACCAGCAAGATCATTGGGGCATTATTATACAACATTAGGTGTGTGTGTGTTTTTTTTTGCAAAACTAGTTCCCATCCCCAAACATTAGACAATACATGCATTTGAATGACATTTTAAGAACCAGTCAATATGATCTTTTTAAATACTGCAATTAAAAATGTTTTCTGACAAAACTCCCTAAACACATAGGTCTAGGAAGGGTTTCCAATGTGGTGACAGGTGAGGAATCCAGCAAGAAGTGGCATTTAGAGTTTTTTGAGGAAAAGAAATCCACCAACATGCTTCCAGAAAAGTAATCTGAACAAAATTAGAGAGTCATTTTCTAGCTTTCTTCCTAAACTTAAAAATATCCTATTGCTTATCTTCCTCCGTTTTTTTTTTTTTCTGTCCGCCACAGCTTATATGAAAATCAGAATTCCTTTATCCATGTAAGATCCAATTTTACCCAAGAGGTGTTTTAATCACATGTAAGTGTCATTTATTATTGGGTTGGAATTATGTGGGGAAATGGAAGAAGTACATGACAGATAAGGGAGGTAAGAAGGAAATTAATATCTGAGCACCTACGATGTGCTGAGTGTGTATGCATACTTTGAACGGATGATTCTAGAGGCAAAAGTGTTACTGAAAGGGCATTGGTAGTTGGGAAGAAGGCAGGACGTGGTTTTTTATTCTGTGAGAAAAACAAATGGCAAGTTGAGAGTCTGCACTCAGTGGCTGCTAAACAGCAAAGTGTCTGGCTCCAAGAATCTCTAGCTAATCACATACAACTAGGCCATTTCTTTTCCTAATTTGATGGAACCAAAATGAAATCCCAAAGACACAGTTACCAGGACAGATCTATTAACGCTACATATGCTGGAAATATGTAGAGAAAGATAAACATACCAGTATTACTCGCTTTAATTTTGTGTGTGTTTCTAACCAAAGATATATCTTTGGAAGAAAATGTTACCGTATACCAAGCATTCCTTATTTGTATCAATTGAGATGTTGTCATCTTACCAATTAAGTGGTTTTAAACCCTTATTTGATTTTAAGAAGAGCAGCAATATACATTTACAATATTTGGGTACACTTTATTTTTATATGGGTTAACATTCTGCTATATTTCATTTCATTCGTCCTTTTTTTGAGAAACTGAAAAACAGAAAAATTGAAGGTAATCTGAAGGTTATTTCCAACCAATATCTGAGTCTTGCAGCATTTCATTATGCAGCCCTTTCTTCCCATTATTTTTTAATTTTTTTGCAAATAAGTCATTTTGACCCAAATCCAGCATAAATAGCATTTCAGCGATTCCTAACTTAAGACAACTAAAATTTACAGTCATGTGGCAGTATAAATTTTAAGATTACAGTTCGTACACCTTGACAATCAAGATAGTCCGAAGTACAAAAAGTAAATTGTCCTTTAGCTGAATTACCTTTTAAAATATTAGACCTGCTAGTTAAATCTACAAAAAAAATACAAGTTTCAGGTGTTCTTCAAATACCTTTTGTAGATGTCACTTGTTAGTAAACAACATATGCAGGTTCCTAAAAGGCGCCCCTCCCCCAGTCTATTCATGACATTCAACAGAGCTCTTTATATGGGAATGTTAAAACAAAACACTTTGAGGGGATGTATTTACTTTTGAATGGGCGGATTATTTCCCTTTGTTTCAGATATGAGGCACAAACTTCTAAATTTAAGCTCTGTAAGGCATCGTACAAACCTCCAATTTACAAATAAGGAATTCTCTGTGGGTTGGAACTGCCGTGTCACGCAAAAAAAAGGGAAAATCATCTGTAAACTGGTACACTGCAATGTGTTAAGTGAGTCATGAAATGGCTGCTTGCCTTGGTATGCTGAAGAAAGGTTTTTTGGGTTTTTTGTTTCTGGAATAAGACATGCCCAAGTCATAAAACCTGCCACAGGCCTCCGTCCCTTACAGCCTCAACAGGAGGCCGCTGGCACACGCTTGCAATCAGAATATAATATAAAGCATGAGTAAACTTTTGTTTTTATACAAAACTGAAAAGAATCCCTTCCCGCCCCTAGCCCCTTCGATAAAACCCTGAACAAAGAAATGAAAAAGAAAATCCTTTAGCTTCGACTGACTAGTGTGGCTACAGTTAGGTTTCCAGGCGTCACTGCAGGTAGGGTGATCAATTTTTTCCTTTCTCGAAAGAAGGGATCTTGTCATGCACCCTAGGAGGGACAGTGAGGGCCACAAACCTCAATTCTGCATAGCAATTCCATTCCAATTTCATCAAGACACATAGAACAGTCTTTCCCTGTGCTGCTCAGCTTCCTCTGAGCTTTGAGATCAGGTTGAATCGACTACAATCTACTATAGCTCTATTAAATAGAATATCTTGATTCCCTACAACTGTAACACTTATGATCTTGTGATGAGGTTTTCTCTATACACACTGTAGGCCTTCAAATGTTGTTTACATTTGTGTTTTTCCCCCTTCTTTTTTGTTTTATTTTATTTTTTTGCTGCACCAAATTTAAGATCGCCCTTTCAGGCAAGCAGTGGTCTCTAGCTGTTAAAACATTTCCTTAGTGGATCACAATAGCTTCTAAAGCTGCCTTTCTAATAAAGGCCACCAGAGAGGTAATACTAAACTGTGCATTTGCCAAATAAGAATAGGAATTGTATAAAAGCTCATATTCCAATCCTATGTAAATGGCAAAAGTTCTACAAAGTTGTTTTCCATGTTTGTATAAAAGCTCCAACTGATTTAATGTATTTTGCTATGAAATTACCTTTGGGTCTTATAATCAGTATACCTCTACTCAGGAATGTGCAAATGATTTTATACAGCACGATGCTAGTACCGCTCTGTACGAGAGTAAGGTTTTTTTTTTTTTTTCTTCTTTTCTAAATGGAAAAAAAAAAAATATCCCTAGTCAGAAATAAACTGACAAATTTACATTCTCCTCTCTTAAAAAAGTAAATAAAATAACATTATTCAAAATGTGAATTAGCTATAAGACATACAATTACATAGATACATATCAATACAGCACATTCAATCTGCCAAAACAATTAATGATCACAAAGCCAGTATGGATGCTGATATTGAGAGAGAGATGTATGTACAATGATTAGAGCATTCATAATTGCACTATACTTACAGGCAGTCTGTTTCTTGATTAAATTACAGGTGCTTTCTGAGCAAGGAAAAAAACAAAACAAAACCTGTGTCGTTTGAGGCTGGGAGAGAGAGAGTGAGAACACTGCATTACCAGTTAGTAGTAACTCTGGTCCTCATCTAATAAGCCAACCATTTTCTCCCTCCCCACTGCTGTGTCAAGAGAGTGATTTCCATGGAAGTTCAGACTTGTGCCAAATAGCATTATCGTTAAAATGAGACCCGCGTCATGGCCTCATTCTAACTTCCCAGCAGGTTTAAAACAATCGGGATTTATTTTCTTAAATCCTATTTCAACTCACGCCGCTTGACGTGAGAGCTCATCAATTTTTTTGCGTTTGTTGGAAATGGCACACAGAGAACGCCAGATCTCTCTCCAAGCAGGTTCAGTTACATAAACACGTGTTCTGCAGAACAGTGAGAGGCTACTTTTGAGTTTAGTCCACAAATCTTCCTTAAGTTCTACTTAACCAGTCACCAGTTTAAAAAGATCCAAAGGTGGTCAACAAGCCGTAGCTTCATATTTTGCAAATGAAAGGTGTCAGAATAATACTATCAATCAGTGTTCTTGGCAGACCTTACTGGACCTTAAAGAACAGAAAGAGTACAACTGGCTTCAAATGAAGAGACACAAGCAAATGTCACATTGCATCACAGAGGACACTCTTCCACATTGCCGGTCTGGACACTCGACGTGGAACGTGGAGACTCGACAGTAAGAACTAAAAAGAATGGACCGTGAGAATCAAATGTACAGTTACCAATTGTTTGGCAATTGGTGTTTCAGGTTCATTCTCAGCCAATCATTTGAGGCTTCACAGTCTTATTCTCTTGCATTTTTAAGATACTGGCTTTTATCATTCAAGTTCTTATTCTGTTTTACAAAAAGCCAGCTTTGGCAATACAGACCTATAATAAAAATCATCTAAAAACTGTGGCCCACACACTCAGAAAAAAAAAAAAAAAAGGAGGGAAAATCCTAACCAGGGGGAAAAAAATTAAGAGCAACCTATGAAAAGGCCCTGGGTAGCAGCCACTAGGGGAAATGTAGTGTCTGTTGGCATTTTTTTTTTTCCTCTTTTTTTTCTTTTTGGCATCTGCGATTTAAAGAAGAGAGGGTGAAAAAAGAAAAAGCAAGGAAAGGAGGAAGGATGATGGCACATGGCATTTCAAAAGAAAGGACTCCTTCCGCGAGTCTCTGCCCTCGCCTCACTGACGTCTACACGTCTGAGCAGCCACCCTGTGGCTGAAGGCAGGAATCCAAAAGGAATGACACTTAACTGTTAGACAGGCATCCAGGCCAAAGTGAGGCAAGACAATATACTTATATAAAAACCTCTATATGTGTATCCAGAGCAATACATTTAAAACCATAGTATTAATACTTATACTCCTTCAGCAAAAAACTACAAACTGTTCAACTAAGCTGATGTTAATGGCTTAAATCGAATGATGTCATCCTGAACTGTTTCATTCGAGAGAAAAACCTGACCAAGGATGGAACTAGGATAAAGGCCATTGTAACCTGGGAAAACTCAGGAGGGAGGTATGGGTTAGGAAACCGGAAATCAGCTTCAATTTGCTAAATAGGAGAAAGTGGGGGGGAGGGGAGGGAGGGAAGAGGGGAGAGGGGAAAAGAAAGGGACAGAAAGGGAGAGGGAAACAACGAATCAACCCTTAATCTTTGTGAGTGCATGACTGAGAATTTAAAATACATTGAGTCACGAGGTTTTGCCTAAAAAAAAAAAAAGAGAGAGAGAGAGAGAGAGGAAATGTGCTGGGACTGTACTTCAGCATTCTGCTTTTCCTCTGAATAGTTAAATAAAATCATAATATTTACTATAAACTCTGTGGACACGCTCACACAGAGTCCAGGACGGCAATAAATTAGTATTATGCAAATTGCTTTCCACAGAAATACAGTCCCTCTTGTACAGCTTCGAGAGCCCGCCAAGGAAGGGAAGGGCGGCATCGAGGAGGCACAATTAGACCAGATTGTACTCCTTCAGGTTCAGCTGGAGGATGGTGTCCTTGACGGCAGCGAAGACAAAGCGGATGTTCTCGGTGTCGGTGGCGCACGTGAAGTGGGAGTAGATGATTTTGTCACTGTCCGGGTTCAGGTCCACGAACATCTTCAGGATGAATTCTCGAGCTGCCTGGGCATCCCTCTGGGGTCCTGTTGGCCAAGGGAGGAGAGAGATAGCGTGTTAGTTGATGCATCAATGCACTTGCTCAATAAACGTTGATCGGGTCATAGGCATGAAGATGATGTCTATATTGCTCCTTTTTTAAAAATAAGGTGCCAAATTCCAGTTGACATATTTGTTAGTTTCAGGTGCACAACTTAGTGATTAGATATTTATGTAACTTATAAAGTGATCACCCAATAAGTTCAGTGTGCATCTGAAACCATTCATAATTATTACAACATTACTGACTCTATCCTTGACCATCATCGTGACTCTTTCATAACTGGAAACTTGTACTTGTTAATCTCGTCACCCTTTTCACTCATCGTCCAACCGCCCTCCTATCTGGCAACCATCAGCTTATTTTCTGTATCTAGGAGTTTTTGTTTGTTCGTTTTTAGATTCCATATATAAGCAAAATCACATGGTATTGCCTTTCTCTGTCAGACTTATTTCACTTAGCATAATACCCTCTAGGTCCATCCATGTTGTTTCAAATGTCACAATTTCATTGTTTTTTTACGGCTGAGTAATATTCCACTTTATGTATGTACCACATCTTTACCCATTCGTCTATTGATGAACACGTAGGTTGAATCCACATGCTAGCTATTGTAAATAATGCTGCAGGAACAGAGGGGTGAATATGTCTTCTCGAATTAGTGTCTTAAATGTCTTTGGTCAGACATTTTATTAACTCACCCCAATGCCTTGCAGGGCCAGACCAAATGATTTCGAGGTTCTATATGGCCCTTGGGTTGGACATTCCCCATCCCTGCTCTGAAGAATATCATAACTAGACTCAAGTTCATTAAAGAGCCACTTGGAATGTGTTTTGTTTTTAAGATAAATTATATTATTTGAAAAAAAACATAAACTACAAAGAAATCTTTATAGCAGAAACACAATTCCACAATCCCTGAACAATTTTGCAATTCAAGCCCATGTGGAAATGATAATTTCCCTTCCTAAAAAGAAATACAGAAATGGCATTCATTATGATTAAGACCTAGTAAGTGCAGAAATGTGGAAGTGTGAAATTTATAATACCATAAACATGTTTATTACAAAAACATCATGCAGAGTGGGCCTAGCGTTTGTTCAGTCTTCTCTCATCTTACAAGGGCCTTGGGTCTCGTGAAATGACAGCTGCATTTGCTTTGTGAATAACAAAGAGTCTCCATGCCATGGCCAAGTGTCCTGTGTGTGCTATGTGTGTATTGGAGGAGACAGACAGTAAATACCACCTTCAGATTTTAAGACATTCCCAATGGGCACCTGTTGGAAGGAAAATACTCACAGTGATGGGGAATCTGAGGAAAATACAACAAAGAAGATATATAAAGAGATCAGGAAGATGTTGGAGGGAGAGAAAGAGGGAGAGAGAGGGAAAGAGGGAGAAATGAGAAATAGGCTTTTATCACAGAAAAATACAACTGATGTGGCTCTGTGTGCTGCATGGAGCAGCAGAGCCTTGGCGGGCAGCTGTGCTCTATCTCCCCTCTGTCATCCTGAATGCAAGCACACCATGACAGCATGCTGGCCCACGGATGGGTGCTGTGTATAGGGAAAGGGATTGTTTCCCACCTGCTGATTCTCATCAAATTGAGAAAAATTAGAGGGGTGAGGGAAGCACGTGTGCTTGGGTGTATGCCAGACGCTTTGTGCTCGTCTCACTTGGGCAGATGCTGCGTTTACAGAGCATGCCTGTTGTTTGGGAGAGCAAGTGAGCTACATGCGAAGTTAATTCCTTCCACAGTTTCTCAGGGAGACTGAGGAATACAGCTTCAGGCATTTATGACTTGGTGGCAGGCTTAGTGACAGATTCAAGGGGGGAAAAGTGAGAACACTGTATAGGGTAGGAAAGTTATCTGGTTTTTTAATTAATTAAATAATTTATTTATTTTTTAAGAAATACCCAGCACAAAGGAAAATGTGCTTGCAGAGGGGACCTTCAGTTCTTTAAACATGCACATTCATCCCTTCCTTGTGTGGGATGAAAGGATAAGTGAAACACCATCCCAGATGTGTCTGTATATTCACAGAGAGCAGTGAAGCCAAACTGAATCATAGTTTTTAAAGTAATTACCTTTTAGAAGTACAGAAACACTGAACTGATATCATACCCAGACACCATGTTGATGAAATAATTTTAAAACTAGTCTGTTCTGCTGCCATGCACATGCTCTGTAACAGGTGCTTGGGATTTGTGCTCCTCTGTGGCAGGAACCACATGGGCTCAGTGACTTGCCTTTGTGATTCCCTTCAATTCTTTCTCACTTAGGAAGGAAATGAGTAGCTGATAAACTTGTCCATGGCATCTTCGCTAGTAAGCAGCAGGCTGGAGCTCTGATAGGCCAAGCCTGTTCTCCACTACCATTCGGTTCCAGACCAGGTTTGGCAAACCTTCTCGGTAAAGGGCCAGAGTAAATATTTTAGGCATTTGATCTCTGTCATGACTACTTAATTCTGCTGTTATGGCATGAGAATAGTCACAGACAGTGCCCAAATGAATGGGTGTGACTGTTTCAATAAAACTTTATGGGGCAGTGGCTTGACACTTTCACTATTTTAGCATGGCTGGGTGTAGGCCCTGGCCGGGTAGCTCAGTTGGTAGGAGCGTTGTCACGATTCGCCAAGATGGTGGGTTTGTTTCCTGGTCAGGGCACATTCAAGAATCAACCAATGAAGGCATGAATGGGTGGAATAACAAATCAATGTTTCTCTTTGTCTCTTTCTCTCATCAATAAAAAAATAAATACAATCTTAAAAAAAAATAGAGTGGATGGGTTTGGATGCATTTTGTTATCAATTGATCAAGTATTTCTCAGAATGGGTTGGATATCCTGTCCAGTTATTCAGGACTTTACTGTCTGGTTGGAGAGACAAAAATCTATAAGAAGGAAGGAAGTATTATAAAGCCATATGAATACTTAAATGAGTGCTATTGATTCTAAATGCCAGCAGAAGAGCTTAAAGAAAGGGTACCATTCCTCAGGATGATGGTACTTCACCAGCCCAAAGTAACTATTTCCTGAGTAGTCACTATGTGTCAACCATCATACTAAAATGTCACACATATATTATCTATTACAGTCTACAAAATAATCCCAGGATTTTGGTCCTAAGGCCCAGAGAAACGAAATGACTTGATAGTGGTTCCATAAAGAGGAAGTATGGATCTGAACCTGGGCGGCTGACTGCAGAGCATGGGCTCTTGATCACAAAACTGTGTTCTCTCCCCAGAGAGAGGCAGAGGCAGACTGTCACCAAATGAATGGGAGATACAGAGGGAATTATAGTGGTTGGTACACAATCAGTCAACACTGCTGGATTGTTCCCTCCTCTGATACGCTTATTTCAAAATACGCAAGATGTTTTCTTTTGCTGTAATTTTCAGCATTGTTAGGGAATGAAATGTTTCATGTCATTAGAAGATGGAGCAAACAAAAATCCGTCCTTCCTCAGTCATGCCACACACACACTTCTGGAGGGAAAGGCAGTAGGGGGGCACTGTGATGTGTTTGTTGGTCTTGGCAGGGAAAACATCTCCCCGGCTCCTGGGCTGGCTGAAGAGTGCTGACTTACCATCATATTCCGGGAAGTAGTCAACTAGGTGGGAATACATAATTTTCTCCTCTAGAAGATCTTTCTTGTTTAAGAACAGAATAACTGAGGAGTTCTGGAACCAGGGATATGTGATAATTGTTCTAAAGAGGGCTTTGCTTTCCTCCATTCGGTTCTGAAAGACAGCATCAGAAAAAACAAGGTGTGAATTACTTGATTACTCAATTTGTGAATCGCGCTCATTTCTGAAGTCCAGCCATCTTCTGTATACATCTGATTTTTGTAGCCTTGTGCTGTGCTGTAGTCACTTTCACCAGGCTTTACATGCAAATGGTTCAGGACACATCTGGCCTATTCTCATTATGTAAACTCTCAGGTTGACAAGGAAAAGATAATAATAATAAATCTGCTGAGATAACTCCTTCACCCTTAAGAGAAATCAAACCCAAGAAAATCATGTTGAATCTGGCACACTGTCATAAATTTTCACCAAAAATTATTAGTTCATGACCAAATACCTAAGATCTGAATTAAGAGTTAAATCCTAGGCTTCCTTTTTGCATTTCCTAAGCTGTGTTTCATTTCCTAAGCACCAGAATTAGTAACTCTATTTTTAAACAAAAATTAACTCTATTTTTAATTAACTCTATTATTAAATTTGAAAATAAAGTTAATTCTTTGCCCAAAGTACATCTATAGTTCTAGAATTATTACTATATACATAGTAATAATAGATAGATAGATCTCTCCCCTGATAAGAAAACATATGAAAAAAATATTTTTGGAACATATATTTTCCATTTATTGGAGCCTACTTTCTTCCTGTTTCACTATAATCTTCATACAGGACAACACAAATTATGTGGAGACCATGTAATTACCTGGAGATACAAATGTGGTATTTCTAATCTTCAGCACTTATAAAACAGTGTTCTTACTTGGAGCTATATTATCTCCTCTACCTTGGTAACATAAAATCACACACAGCCACACCCACCTCTAAATAATTCCTACCCTTGGGCCCAAAGGCAACAGAGTTGGGGAATCCTCCTTTCCTTGAGGGTATAAAAGTCATAGTGCATGGGCATGCTTCTTCCTAGACATACAGATGACATTTTCCAATTATAATTTAGTTTTATGTGCTATGACTGAGTTTCAGGCAATGAAAAGGCCTGCCTGGGATTGAGCCCACCTCTACTGCTGACAGGAAGCTCAGTGGTTTTCGCAAGAACATCCTATTCCACAACACCCTGGTTGGCTCTGAACTTGGTCGATCTAGGCCTAAGTCATTCACAACACCTTTCCTGGTTTATAATTTTCAGTTCAGCTAAACAGCTTAATTGATTCGATCAACCCAGGAATTTTGTTGGGGACTCTGGGACAGAGAAACTTGCTTTCATGAAGAATGTGGAAGAGGAGCATCAGGAGCTCCTAGCAGCCACCGTTAAACAGGAAATAAACCAGGATCGGTGCACCTGGTTTTAACTCCTTAATCAGATCATGCCTGTCAAGATGGAAGGCAGGTCAACTCTGTGCTTGTATCTTCCCAAGATCACATCAAATTACAACTAAATTATAGAAAAACCATCATGGAGAACCACATAGAGACTAGCTGATGAGAATTCCTATAACTAAGGATATAAAGACAAAGCCACCTTGTGACTGATAGGAGGGGCGGAAAGGTGGAACAGGAGGTCCCACACCCATAGTGTGGCAATTAGAATCAGGAGGGATATCTGGCTGTGGAGCCCCTCCCTCCCCCGCCCACTGAGGAGTGAAGGGTCACATCCCTACACCTGGCCCCCAGCACTGAGAATAGGAGTCTCCATAACTCTGGCTGTGAAAACCAATGGGGATTATATCCAGGAAAGACGAATGGCTGTGGGAGTCTGGGTCAATCTTGGAGAACCAGTGGGAAGACTCACTCCCTCTAAGCTTCATTGCAGGTGTAGCTGCTTGAAAAGCACCAGGAACAAATGGGGAGAAACTAAACTGACTAACTTCAGTAACTCACTCCAGCGATGGAAGCACTGGAAAGCACAATGCTCCTTTTGTAAGCCCTCCTCCCATCTAGCTAGCATGGCACTGGGGGATGCTAAATCTGTGCTCTCCATTAACCTGGCTGAAACCGTTTATCCCTCCCTGGTGATTCCTTGAGACCACCACCCCATCCAGCATGTTTGTCCAGCCTAAGACTCTTCCAGTGGTTCCTCCACAGAAGCAATCTTTGTGCTGCAGTCTTTTCCAAAATGTCTCAAAGGTCACAAACCCCAAACAAGCAGTGGCCAGCCTCAGCATACCTTTTAACTGGAGGAGGGGCGGAATGGCTTACTGAATGGCTTCCAGACCAGTATAAGTGGCAACCAGTCTCAACTTATATTGTAATTCCCATCAGGTGGCCCCAAGCCTGGCCTAAGCAGCAACCAGTCTTGGCCGAGATCTAGCTTCAATTAAGTGGCTAAAAATCCAGTATAAGTGGCTGCTGGCCTCAGCTCACATGGTGCTCAGCAAAGGGTCCCAAGCCCAGCATAGTGCCAACCGGTCGTAGTTCACAGCTTAGCCTCTCTAAGCATAGCACAAGCAGCAATCAACTGCAGATCACTTTGTAGCACCTACCAAGAATAGCAGTGGCTGAGCTTTCCCTGCACCAGAGGCCCTCCCAAGAGGCTCAAGAATCACCATATCTAGGGTTTGGCTTTAGACCACACCAGAGACCACCCAACCACCTCCACAAACACACACCTTAAGGTAGGGGTGTCGAACTCAATCAGAGAAGGGGCCAAAATCTAAAATCCAGCCTAAATCGCGGGCTGAATGGTTTACTGAACAGTCATAAACTGTCATTGTGATGGAAACACAGCGGAGTGCAGTGATGACAGCGTGGTGCAGGCCACATTGCAAGGCCTGGCGGGACGGATTTGGCCCTCGGGCCTTGTGTTTGACACATGTGCCTTAAGGGCACACTCAGCTGGTACCAGAGCCTTACAAAGGTGACTCTCACTCCCTGGAGTCAGCCCTCCCACAACAGCTTGTCCAATGTAGCCATGGCTTGTCTTCATAGCCAGTCATTCTAGGGGTCAAACCCACCCATGGACATGCAATTGAGACTTACCTAAAACAAGAAGTCACACAACCCACACAAGGGACATCCTGGTAGTACCTGGTTCGGGAGATCAGGAAGATTGAGCTAGAGGGCCCCATAGAACACCTTCTACATAAGGCCACTCTGTGAAGGCTGAGAGATATAGCAGATTTGCCGAATGCATAGAAGCAAACATAGGAAGTTAACCAAAATGAGGAGGCAAAGGAACATGACCAAAATGAAAGAACAGGACTAAATTCCAGGGGGAAAAAACACCTAAAAACTAAATGAAATGAAGATAAGCAGTCTGTTCACACAGAGTTTGAAACAGTGGTTATAAAGATGCTCCATGAAATTAGGGGAAGAATAGATGAACACAGTGAGAACTTCAACGAAGGCAGAAAAACATTAAAAATGTGATAGAACACATGAAAAATAACCAGTCAGAAATGAAGAATACACTAGAGGCAATCAACAGCAGATCCGATGAAGCAGAGGATCAAATCAGCAACCTAGAAGACAAAGCAGTGGAAAACACCCAATTGGAACATAAAAAAAAAAAAGAATTTTATAAAATGAGGTCAGTTCAAGAAATCTCTGGGTTAAGCGTACCAACACTCACATCACAGAGAGAACAAGGTATTAAAATCTTCTTCGAAGAAATAATGACTGAAAATTTCCCTAACCTGGCAAAGGAAATAGACATAAAAGTCCAGGAAGCACAGAGAATCCCAAACAAGATGAACTCAAACACAAGAAGACACATCATAATTAAAATGACAAAGATTGAAGAAGTGAAAGAATCTTAAAAATAGCAAGGGAAAATAAAGCAGTTGTGTACAAGGAAGCTCATATAAGGCTTCCAGCTGATTTCTTAACAGAAACTTTGAGGTAAGAAGGGAATGGCACAAAATGTTCAGTGATGAAAGGCAAAGACCTACAACCAAGATTACTCCACCTAGCAAGGCTATCATTTAGAATCAAAAGGGAGATAAAGAGCCTCCCAGATAAGGAAAAGGTAAAGTAGTTTATCACCACTAAACCAGTATTACAAGAATGTTAAAGAAACTTTTCTTGGAAGAAAATAAAAATATGATTAAGAAAATATAACAAAGAAAAAATTCTCACTAATAAAAGCAAACAGTAAAAGCAGTGGATCAACCAACTATAAAACACATAATTAAAATTCTAAAAGTCGGACAGGGAGAATCTTAAAATCAGCAAGGAAAGAGCAGTTAGTTGTATACATGGGAGCTCCCATAAGACTATTAGCTGATTTCTCAACAGGAATTCTGCAGGCCAAGGGGCAGGGAAGAGGAATGCAAATAAAAACCATAATGAGATCACATCTGTCAGATTGGCTGTCTATAATAATAAAAGTGTAATATACTAATTAGACTGATATCCTTCCAGACCAAGCCACTGCTGGCTGGGGCCAAGGCTGAGGCTGAGGCCAAGGCCCCCTGGCGGCCAAGGCCCCCTGGCCGCCACAGCAGGTGGGAACAGAGGCAGAAGCCCTCAGCCACCATGGCCTTCGAGTACCGAGGCAGATGCCTCCAGCCACTGCAGCAAAGGCAGAGGCAGAGGCGGCTGGAGTGGTGGTGGGGACTGATCCCCTTTCACAAATTTCGTGTATCAAGCCTCTAGTCAATAAATCAACAAACAAGTGTTGGTGAGACGATGGAGAAAAGGAAATGCTTGTGCACTGGTGAAGCTGTAGATGGACACTATTGGAAACAGTAAGTAGGTTTCTCAAAAAGTTAAAAATAGAACCACCACATGACCCAGCAATTCTACTTCTGGATATTGAGCCAAAGAAACCAAAAAACTTAATTTGAAAAGATATATTTGCCCCTATGTTAACTGCAGCAATATTTATAATAGTCAAAATATGGTAGCAACCCAAGTGTCCACTGATATACAAATAGATAAGAAAGATGTGGTACATATATATAGCCATAAAAGGAATGATATCTTGCCATTTAAGACAAAATGGATGGACCTAGACTGTATCATGCTAAGTGAAATAAGTCAGACACATAAAGACAAATACCATATTATTTTGCTTGTATATAAAATGTACAAAACAGAAA